CTCGAGTGGCTCTACGACGACGCGAATCAGAGAGCGAACTGGCGGCCCTTATACTATACATATATACATATGTATATCACATAAGCGGTGAAGATCCCGATCTGCAGTGCGATTCGGAATTTTCAGCTATAAGCATCAAGCATTCCGGCAAATGAATTATATGGATATGGGAGAATGAAGATGCGCATCCGTCGACTTTCGACACGTGACATCGAAACTTTGGGCAGATGGGACAAGCTGTAGCTCGCGTTAGTGTCGCCTCTGCGGGGTGCGCCAGGGATCACTCACCTTGTTGCTTGGTACGCATAACGGCCGCTCTTCGATAGAGAGAGACTTGTTCCTATATTCAAGCTGTTCTGTGATTGAGCCTGAGGTGAAATCTCGAAATTCTCAGGCAAAGAGAGATGGCGACGACGAGTGCGGCCGACTGCATCATCGACAAATCGGAACTCTCGCAAAGCCCCGCTGGCGAGATTCCCAGTTGGAGCAATTTATTCGCAAGCTGTTCCCGATAGGCACGGTCTCCAGGCTCAATCACGGGGAGAAGATTACAAGTAGTAAATCTCAGACCATCGTCATTGATAGCATCAAGGTAGTTTCCGCGTGCAGACGTTAGAATCACCCATTGACAGCTTTACAGCAGGATCGCTGCCGAGGATTCCTCCGACTGACGCAATGTTCCGTGTACGAGTCATGCGACGAGACCTCGCCCCGGCTTCCACGGCGGATCTCTGATCTAGATGTCAAGACGAAGGATGTCTAAGGGGATGTGGAGGGGAAGAAGACTCGAAATCCTGATGTTCGAATCGTAAACAGTATAAAAATTCCGAAGGTCGAAGTTCCTTCTCTATTTCTCTTCACAACTGCCGAGCAGACTACCAGGAGACCTCTCCCGGAGAAAATAGGGTGAATTCTGCAGAATGAGCGTAGCGGGAGAGAGTCGGACGGAGGGTCGGAATGCTGCACTCTGGATTGTAGTGTGAGCGAGGAGTACTCAAGTTTCCAAACAGATGATTTCCTGCTTCGCATGTTGACTTCGCAATGTCTAGCCGAGTTCAATATCAGTACTCGGGCTGAAATCCGAGCACAGCGGGTCTCCCCGATATTGTAGGTCTGTCGCCTGTTTCAAAGTCAACGCGTTCGCCCACGCTCGGGTAATGAATCGAGAGATGAAAACACGCAATATCATCCCGCGGTCGAGCACCGTTGGATATTCGGGGCACTTTTTCAGTGAGAGCAGAAATAGGACGGAGAGATTCCGGAATATCGTGCCCGCTACGTTCGTTCCGGACCCTAGCCGCGCTCCGGATCTGCCGGCATCAGTTATACGACTCGAAATATTCGAGACAGGAATGGAGTAAACGATATCCCCATCGCCGCCCTTCAGATGTCGAAGAGTTGAGTCTGGCAATATGCTCAGTTGCAAAATTATACGCGCACCTTGCATGGATGTACTCATAGAAGGTGTGCGCATGACTTCGCCACTGACGGTGGGACTCGCCGCGATAGGCAGCCCAGGAGAGGCTGCTGTGATGGGTAGGACGGGAACATGCAGGCTGGACATGTCTGGGGATTCTGAATTTCTCTCGAACATCCCAAGATTCTGAACGCGAGACGGTGGAAGGAGCGGCTCCCTCTTCACGCGGCTCCTCCGGATTCCGCCATAGCGCACCATCGGCGCGTCGGCGTCGGTCAGCCTGTGAGAGCCGAACGAGGCTCGCTGTCCTATCTCACCAATTAGGGAAATCTCCATTTGGTGGTTAGGCCGCTCGAAGCGAATCTTGTCGAGGGCAGCGTCCAGATAGTCATCTCCGGTGGAGGGTAGAAAAGATAGTTTTTACAACAGGAAAGACAATGCATGGCATCTATATATTTGCGTGGAAGCAAGATCAACGTATTTGATAAGCACCAACTCGAATAGGCGATATGTCGACAAGGTAACCTGTGACGGAATTGAGCTCTTCTCCGTTCGCAAAAAATCTCCTTCATTTCAAAGAACATAGAACGTTGATCCGTTCTCATTTTCGTCTGTTTAATCTCTCCGGACTCGATGAGATCAGCCCGATGTGGAGAGCTCGAGAGTGAAATAGTGTTCGTTTGCAGCCCTGCGTCCACCGGCACCGGTGCTAGTGTCGAAGATTTCACCCGTCACGAAATTCTCGCAAAACGGCCCCTACTGTGAGTGTATGAATCTGAGTTTTTCCCTTTCCACGTGAACGCGATCGAGTTCGTATCGAGAGGGAGCCGGGGTCTCCGCAAAGAGCTTTGGCACGTGTCACGAGCGCGAGTCTTGTCGGGAGGCCCGAGACTCGACCGATGCGTCGAATTATTTCCCGGCGAAGTCGCGAGTAGCGGATACTACACCCAAGTGTAGCAGTGTAAACATATTGACCGTGTGCCGCGGTCCGGGATCCATTTTCCATGGAAGAGTTTGCCTTGTCTCGGTTTTCTTCGGCTCAGGTGTATCAATATCACCACTAACTTGGATGGAAGCAAAGCGAGCCTGTCTCAGCGGCGGCTGTCCTCAGAGAGATAGTGTATACTGTTGACTCTTCAGATAGATTCTCGCAAACCGAGCAAGGCTGTCAAAACAGACGTCTCTTACGCCATAATTCTTTCTTCGCTGAGATGAGCGCACCGGGTCCTTTCTCCAAAATCATACGGTGTCGAGGGTACACACGTTCCGGAGCAGGAGTCTATAGCGGCGCTGTGGCATAGCCGTGCATGTTCGGACCGTACCTGAATTTCCAGGCTGCTATCGTCATCGATTGAGTGACGGAGGGGTTCGTCGCTTAAGCATGTTGCGCTCTCGGTCTGAAGGGACAAAACAGAAGCTTGATGTTGGGTGTTCAGCTCCGATCCGGTCTCATTCGTATATCCTCGGTTCGATACAGTTTTCGTTAGGCTTCGAGATCCCGCCCCCGGCGCGGCAGCTTAGTCTGGTTGGAGCTGGCTCCTGGAGGAGGGCATTCCCTTTCCTCGGGAGCTACAGGGGAAAGCCTCGAGTCGCAGACATTCCGAAGTATTTTGTTGCGCTCTTCACTTAGGTAAGTTCCAATGACACATGCCAGGTAGGAAAAAAGTCCGCGGTCGATTCGGAACGATTTTCACGAGTCCGATTCGTGAGCATCAGGCTCGGTAGTTGTATTTGCTCCTCCTGTGTCTGAGAGAGCCAAGGCACCCATTTCTGGTGAAAACCCAATCGAATCGACCGAGACTATTTTGCTTAACTCAATAGGATAGGAAAAAAATCGTGACGAGGTTCAATTCCACGAGAAGAGATCCTTCCGGATATCCTCTTCTCGGAATCCAGACAGAAGACTTTTGCCACTCGCTTGGTCACGATGAAGGCTCTTATCAGTCCGGTGATTCCCGACACATTGATGTCTCCCAACCCACTTGAATCCGTAAGATCGATCGTGACCAGAGCTGTGCGCCGCGTCACGAATTCGCCGGCGATCGCCGCCGCCGACCTCTGGAGTCCGCCGCCGCCGCCGGAACCCGAGCACGGCGTGACGGAACGCCGGCGCGCCGTGCCAACCCTCATGAAAAGTAACAGAAAACCACGGGAAAAAAAATTGGAAACTCGGTTCGAGGTACTGAGCTCGCATGAGAATGCGGGGACATAGCATTCGAATGAGACGGGATGTTTCGGACCGAAGCTCGGTGGTCGTTGAGAGCCCTGACTGATCAATTAAACTTGAATTCATCGGAAGATCGCACGTGTCAGATAGTATTTCATCCCCGACAAATGAGGAGACGCAATCAGAAGACTTTCGAACGTGCGTTCCACCTATCCCGCGGCGCGCCATGGGCTCATCGGTCCGCCGAAAATCGCCGCGGCGCCCGCCGCCGCCGCCCGTTTTCCAGCCCGCCGCCGCCGCCGACGAAAATCCCATGGCGCACAGCTCTGATCGTGACCAGAGCTGTGCGCCGCGACCAGAGTTGACGGCGGCGGCGGCGGGGGAGAAATACCCGGCGCGGCGGCACGCCGCGGGGTTACAGCGGCGCACCTCGGCGCAGGAGATAGCCACTGGGAATAATATCAGAGAGACGATTATTTACAATTTATTTTCCATCCCAATAACAATGTAGGGAAGGGCATGCCTTAACTTGACATCGGAACTATGTGTCATATACGCGGCAAGAAACTTTTGCTGTCGTGAATGAAAAGAGTCTTCGTCATCGTTATTGGATCCAAAGTACACCGTTTTTCTCGCAACCTGCGATTGAAAACCTCCGTTCAGGTCGAAATTAGAGTCGAAATCTCTCATTCTGCCACCGCCTTAGCAGCATCATGCACAGTATTGACTACCGAATTCGACGGCGCGCCGCCGGCGTTTTCGCCGCCGCCGCGCCGTCCGGTGGCGGCTGGCGGCGGACTTGCACACTCGGCGCGCCGGCGATCTCGCCACGCAGCGCACAGCTCTGATCGTGACACATAGGCGACCGTAGCTCCCCGAAGTAGAGCGAGCGCGTCGCTCGATCTGGAACGAATTCTCGATCATACCGAAACAAGTATGGAACTACTTTCGCTATGGACGGGAATTCGATGCCCCCGTGCCAAAGCTGTTTGTGCAGCTCGTGGGGAAGACTTTTCGAGTCCATCTATCCCCAGCCGAGATTCAATGCTCTCAGCCGCGAAAGCCTTCTCGAATCGTCGGGGACTGTGTGAAATCTCGAGTAGGAAGCTCCGGCACGACTGCGAATTAGCTATGCTGGGACCTTTCAATCACGCTCCGAATGGATGTGCAGAGCAGGACCCTCTATCGCGACCGATATTCATAGGTACTTGGTCGTTACATCATTCCATCGAATGATCAAAACAGGAAGTCATGCTTCCACCGGTCTTTCCCATTCTAGCATTTTTTGACGTTTGCCGGTCTCCCAGAAACTTCATTCTAAACAGTCTTCACGTCACCTTGATACCTTCAGCCAAAACTCCCTTCCCCTATTCGCTGCGGCGTACGCTTCGCAGACATACACGTGCCTCTAATCGGTGGTTTTCGTTTACGATGGGCGTGTTCGCGGGCTTGAAGTTTTCAAGCAAATCGAGAGTTTACCGGATTCAGTAAGTATATGCTCGCTGAGAGTCATCGTTCTCCGGCTGTGTCCGTCCAGCCTCGCGGATCCGATGCTCAGCGGGCGTTTTGTTACCCCGGAACCCGAGTCTCATTTTAAATGAGAGACTTATTGACGGAGCTCGACTGAGCTCGGCATATCCTCCGCTCGGGAAAACGCTCGGCATGTGCTCATGCAGAAGTCTGCAGTGGGAAAAAGTCACTGTGCTAACCACGTTCGAGTTCACCCGTGCGTCATCGGTCAGCGTTCGTAGTTAAGTGAGGCAGAAGTTTTGAGAGCGAGCTCGAACAAACGGCGCACGGTTTTTGCTCTGTGACTCGTCCACCTTTTTAGTAGACGGTGCTCACAAATACACTCGCGGGGCTTGAAAAGCAAACGGGTCAACTGAGGCCGGCACCGTGCTTGTTCAGTCTATCCGTTTGACCTTCCTCCGAGTTATCGCGGGAACTCCAGACCATTGACAGTAACGTTCGGGATTCACTGCCGAACGTTCCGTTTCGGGGTCAGTCAGCGGCATCCATCCGCGTTCTATCGACCCGTTTCTCATATTTTTCCTTTAAATCGTGTTAGGGAGGCAACCTACCACATGCGCTTGTGAGTATCGAGCTCTACTTTACGACGTGACACTTTATGCCCGGCCGTCGCAAGTCATAATATTTACAAGGATCGAGGAATCGTGCCGACCTGGCTGTCACCGTAGTTTCATGGATGAAATCAATTCTGTTAATTACTGGTTGAGTCCTTTCGATTCTTCAAGGTGTTTTTCTTGAGGCGTGTTCCCCCGAATATTAGCGCGTGAGTCGACGTCGATCCGCTGTGCTTTCCAAAGATTATAATCGAATGGTAGGGTCTCTGCGTCAAGCAAAGACATTTTAGTTAGAAATCGCCTCGCAGCGACTAGCTGAGATCCGGTCGGCGAATTCATCGCCCTTGTGCGCGGGAGCTCTACATCTGTGTTATTCTCTTCCAAAATAGCTTCTCTGCCAGTCTGACGTTCCGATTCGTATCCCGCCATAGGCGACAGTAGAATTGAAGCCTGTGTTTACGAAATGTAGGGTACTTCCGAAACGCCACCGATCGACTTTCGATGATGAAGGTGCTTGTTAATGAACGTGACTACCGGTAGTTTTACGGAAAGTTCATCCTGACATCGTAAGAATCAATCGATACGTAACGAGCCCGACCCATGTTTTCATGCAAGGCTCGGAAACGGCGACCGCTGATCGGATTAGCTCTTATATAATAATCTGAGGCTGGGCCAAAATATTGATGGCGACGCGTCCCATGGTATCTTATTCTCTACGATCGACGGTGTATGTGTTCGGCTTCGTGGAATTACACCGTGTACCTTACAGAATTCTGTATGGGACGATGCGTTCTATTCAGAACTGCTCTACGACGCTCCGATGACTCCTGGAATTCCAATTCATAGATTAGGGATTGCATCCCTATCACCAAGTACCGAGGAACGGCAGCGCCGCGATGATGAGTGGTTAGCTGGCATTTCCTAGGCTGAACATGTCGTCCCGAGACTTCACTCCGTCCCTCCATTCAACAGACAATGAGAGCCGCTCGACCGGAGATGGTGAGATTCCACTCTGACGGCCGACACGGATACTTAGATTCCGGTCCAACCGGCTCTCGCGGCACGCAGGGTTCTTCGACGGAGACGATTTCTCGGTGCTCACGCCCCGAAGCGCTGGATTCTAGTCCATAAATATGTTCGAGTCTCACGGAATCGATCAGCTTTCGCCTCGCGGGTGCTCATCGACGTCGCTAGGTGTTTCCCTCGAATTTTCCATACATGAGGCCGGTTTCGCTCTTTCTGATCATCCCCGGTCGGGGTTCGAGCTCAGACGAATGAGGTCAAGTTTCCCATGGATTTCTAGCATATTCACCTCGAACACGGTACGATTCCGTCGAGGATACGGACGGCGATGGAGATCGCCCAGGATCCATCAAACAACTTGGAAAGGTAGACAGCGCGCATGAATAAGAATGTGATCCGAGACTCCCGGTTTCGTTCAGAGCGCAGTATCTCTCATCCCGAAGTTCCAGTGGAGCTTCAGTGATGACCGAATGCATCATTTTTCATCTATTGACTCAATCATGAGTGATTTTCGTTTGGATCGAGCTTTCGACATGACTGGCTATCGATTCACTTATCCAGGATCAGCGAAGATTTAAGTCATAGGAACGAAAATGATTATCGCTCTTGTTTCTTGCCAATGAGTTCCGAACGTACAGAGATCGTGTGTTCGGAAGAAACTCTGCGCTTGAACCGTGCCCTGAAGGTTTCCTATTTCTTTCCAGACAACAGGCATTCGCAAGCAGTCAGAATGCATCCCCCAGAAGAGCTCCTAAAGATCCGTGAGTATTTTCGAGAATCGAGAAGCTGGCTGAAGCTTCGACCGAAAATCAAGGGAAACTTCCGATACCTGCGAAATAGAGCGACCGTATTCAGATTGCCCGCTGTTAAGGCTTCACACGCATTCTATAAATCGCTTGGGAGGCCCTTCGACTGATTCGTTTTGAAGGAGTCTCGATCGTCATCAGATTTGCGGGCCCATGAGGAGGTTGTGTAGGTATCTTTCCACCGAAGCAAGAATGCGAGTGTGAGCGTCTCCATCACCGCCCTGATCGACTCCAGGAAGACTAGAAGGATTCATCTCTCTTGGATCCCTCTGAGCGTCTGATGCTCACTTTAGCGATCGCGGGACTTACCATGGAACGATTGGCGGTGGATCGGACCCGGAACTTCCCCGATCGGGTTTTGGGTTTCCCAACGAAAGGCAGGTGACGGCATCGTGCTCGGTAAAGTCGATTCCTTGATGCTTCTTCAGGTTCAATTTCGCCGCCTTCACAATATTCCTGTTCGGTATCGCATCCCTGCTACCGTGGAATTTCTTCATCACCGCTACTGACGTGAGTATCCGGCCATCATGAGAGACGGGCTGGCCATTCTCCAAGCTCCTTTCCGTAGCGAGAATGAGTGTCCGAAATCTCTCATCGTCATGTATGCTCTATGAAGAAGCGCGTTCATTATTTCCGCTACTGTCTCCACGGAAGCAACCTGACTGAGATCAATCCCTGTGCGTCGAACTTTTCTCTTAGCCTCGAGATCGATACGTTGATGATGAGATCGATATTGCTCGCGTTCCACTGAGGTACATAGTTGGAACTCCCTCAGTCTTGCAAGGATGGAATCATCGATCGATCGATGATTACTTCAAATCGGTTGCGGTCCCCTACCCGTGTCTCCCTTGTGATGATTCTCCTTCTCTCATCGGTGATGAAGTCATTTTGGGAGGCGAGAACTTAGAGGGTGAATAACATAACGCTTGCTTCCAGTACTGGAACTATAAATTCCGAGATCCCTCTCCGAATTCCACCACGGATACGACACCGCTTCAGAAATCATTCAACTCGTATCTCGCCATCGCGTCAAAACTACCCTACATCATCTTCCTCGTCGTGAACACAGCCATCGCAAACAAGGTGCATACCGATCCACACAGCTCTCCAATAGACGGAGCGTAGAGGAGAAATGACACTTAACTCGATTTCCAGATACGATGCTCTGTGCGGATAGGCTACTCATTATTTATTTGCATTGTACTCTTCATCGCCACGGCAGCTCTAGTGAAAATAGACACCGACTTACGTGAGTATCGCATCCGGACGATGCAGAGCTCACCAACTCATATTGGAAGAATCTGCGAATATTCGCGAGACTGCATACCTGACCGAGATGCTCGGGAAATGCTCAAGTCGGAAGTGAAAAAAAATACCATTTCCAGACCAGAAGGAGTTTCTCGCGGCAACTTTGTGCATCGTGGTTCTGATAAACGGTATGCTCGTCGTCATGCTTGGGGTGCGCTATTCCTCGACCCAATCCTCTTTCACAAAATTGAAGATAGAGTACTCAGGGTCTCAATTTCCTTCCTCGCAGTTGTCTGTGGTTTCTTGCAAGGGGGCGGAACGGGTCTCGCAGGGACTCTGCCGGCAAAGTGAGTCTCAAGAGGGTGCTCGCGGTCCCGATACTCGATCTCGCTCGGGATTCTTAGATGCCAGTTCCACCTTTGCCCTGTCCGAATATTTCTGAGTCGGGAACTCATCGATTCTTTCGACTCCTCCAGGTATATGGCCACGAATGTGATGGGTCAGGCTGCCGGCGGAGTATTCGCGACTCTGTGTCAATTAGTATGTCTCCTTTGCGATACGCATCCGACAGATTCCGCCTTGCTGTACTTCGGAATTGCGACCGTTGTCCTAATCATCACACAGATATGCTTCTGGATTTTGGTCAGAATGGTTGGTACCTCGATGGTTTCTATCGATGCTCGCCTCATTTCGGGAAATACGTAGGCAGTCTCGCCAGGGCTAGATGTTAGCGAGTGACATGTCGTCTGGACGCAGACTCTGGGAATCTCGATCTACATATATATTTGAGCGACCCTCATGCAATGAGTATTTCAGGACTTCTACGCGTTCTACATGGCAGAGGATAAAGTACTCTTATCCTATCATGGAAAACATCAGATAGACGACCAAAAGAAATCGACCCCATTCTGGGGTATTTTCAAGGCCGTGAGTATTGCCAGAGCAGCCATTCCCGACCTCGGGACTTTCGCTGCCGGCTTCAGATATTATTTTTTCATATGCTCATAAAATATGGAATCATGAGATCGGCTTGATTCCCGGGCTCCTCGGTCCGCTGACAGTCGAGGACGCAGACAGAGTTTCGACTCAAGGATTTCGTTTGATTCCAGGGCTGGATGTTCTACATCGCAACGGTGCTCATATTTTGGGTGACTCTGGCAGTTTTCCCAGCTATCACAGCGCTGGTTCGATCGTCCGACGCCAGTAACGGCTCCGCTGTGACGAACAAACTGTTCATTCCACTGGCCTGTTTCGTCGTTTTCAACTTCAGCGATCTCTTCGGCAGACTTCTCGCCAAATACCTCCCGATCGTAAGATCCACTCCCCCCCCCGTACGGAGTCGTAGAGCTCATCGGACTCCGTAGTGGTGGAGCTCGTCGAGGCTCTCGATCGCAGCCTCCTCATACTCGATCGAGCAATAATCTCCTGACTCTGTTTATTTCCACAGCCGGCCTCTCAAGGAGCAATGGTTCTGGCCTTATCCGTGACTCGAATACTCTTCATACCACTTTTCCTCATCTGTAATGTATCTCCGGGTAGCCGAAACCTGACTCCTATTCTCCTCGATCAGGATTGGCATTACGTGCTGGTCATGTTTCTGTTCGGAGCCTCTAACGGTTACGTGACAACACTATCCCTAACCTACGCCGCTAAGTGAGTGATTTTTTCGGTGTCTCCCATCCTGGCGTGACTCGGATAGTCACGATTTACGATACCGGGCTATGGACACCATCAAGCACCGGAGCCGAGAGCTATCTCGGGAGATTACCGGTTGGGCGAAAAATCACTAATGCTCGGGAAACCCGGTCATGCGAATTCTCCGCGACTTAACGCCACCCATGGAATCGGAGTCGTAATTTTAACTAATCTGTTAATTTCTTCATTCACAGAGCGAGCGCTCCAGAACATCAAGAGGTCGCGGGATCCCTCGCCGCTGTATTTTTAGGACTTGGTTTAGCTTTAGGCTCTTTGTCTTCTTATCTCACCTTGCAGCTCCTCTGAAGCCTCGGACGAATGTCGCAGTTTTCGTTCCAGAATTACCGGGAAATGAAGTTGGACATGAGCACATCGCAGTCCAATTCAGAGACCAGCTTCACAGGAGTGATCTCGGACAGGGATCAAAATCTGTTTTAATTAAGCAGACTCTATACAAGTCTCCTTGTCTCTCTCGACAAGAACCACTAGTTAGACATCTGATTGACGGTCTGACCAGATTACTTTTAAGATCTATGTGTAAATGACATGTACAAAAAATAAATCCCGTTCCACCAGCAGATACTCTCTTCGATCTGTTGAAGAAACATCGAGTTCGGATTCCTGAGCCATAGTCGGACGCTGTGTTCGGGGCACTCAATTAGGGCGATTGGTCAGCAATGAGAAAGATCGTTGAAAGAGTTCGTAGTTCTTCGCGCGCAACACGGTTTATTTCCATCATTTATCGCGATTGATTACTCTTCATTAGTCTCGACTCATGATTCCATAGAAGGAAACTGTTGCCTTCGATTTTCAATCTATTTTCAAAGCGGTGCAGCAGCCGAGCTGATATTATGGTGTGGGACCCTATAATCGGTCACCCCAATTCTGAAGAGCGAACCTAATCGTAAACCCCTGCTGGATTTCACCGCGCACGGTGCGACCGAGATTACAGCCCATCAGCCCGAACACCCATTAGCCCGAACGCTGAGTCGGACCTCCCTCTCTCAAGCAAACCCGCTGAACTGGGGTTCTCATATCTGTATTCTGACAAGCGGATTTTTTAGGCCTTAAGTATATATTGGACCAATAACTCAGATTTCCTCTTAATGCGGCAGGAGCCGCAGTCTCTTCCCATTGTATGCATGAATGAGGAAGTCGGCAGGCAGCTCGATGGGGAATCGCCTCCTTCTAGTTATGGTTGGCGATAGAACGCGATGTACGCGGATGAAGCGACTTCACAGTCCTCCGTAGGGGAGCATATCAGCGTTCTATTTTCCCTATAGTCCGATAGAGAGCATCGTTCCTTGCCTGGCTCAGAGACTCGTTTCAAGTTAAAGTCCAAGCGAGCATGGGATTGAGTGTCCATGAGATCCCATCGGCCAGGAAGAATCCTCTCTTCAGGGCCAATGACTTCATGTACGAGGTCGATAAGAGTAAGGGAGAGAAATATTTTTGTTGGTGCATTAGCAAGAAGACCGAGAGATCTTCCACCAGACCACGCAGCACGTTCGTGCTTCGCAACCTCGATCTTCCAAACCCCCAACCCTCCAATTTAGCGGGACTGTTTGAGAAAGGGGGGTCCGACTCAGCGTTCGGGCTAATGGGTATTCGGGCTGATGGGTGCACACCGCGACCGATTGTGTATCTCAACACTCGGAACTAAACGATGACGAGCAACATTAAGCCTCTGCGAGAATCATTAGCAGAACCGCTTCCTATGGCGTTTTACACAGTACATTGCACCCCCTTGGAACCCACCGAGACATATAGACAGAGAGTAAAAGTTGCATCTCTTACCATAAAAATAGTACTCTCTCCCCTCTAGCAACTATTATTACACCTCTGATAAAGAAAACATCTCTCGTAGCGGTAACATCAACAGTAGAAATAATGACTATTGCGACAATAGTGATAATGATCTCACGCCAATGGCTGAATTGGCGTCTAGAAAATAAAGCTCGCGGGACTTCCCTGAGACTCGCCCGACGAGAGACACTAACCAAATGAGGGGACACGATTATAGGAACGAGGGAGGTCGCCAGAATTCACGAGAATGCTCCCCGAAAATTATTATGCCCCCGGGAAAATGCAGTGAACAACTACTAATTCTTTCCGAACCAAGGTGAGACGGTAGCTATCCGAGATATGTAGCCTGCTTGCCCATCTTATTGTAAGATAGGTCGACATTTCAAGGGAATCCTGCAGAAGCTCACGCGAAGCGCTTCCGAACTGGTCACCGATCAAACGATCCAAGGACCCTGGATCGATTCGGAATCTCATAGGTTAACTCCCTTGCTCGGAATTGACATGACCAGATGTGTTCCTCGCGGTTGATCATCTTCGCCTTGGTGGCCACTGCGATGATTCAGGAAAATCGATGCCACTCCTGAACTTGTTTCGGGGCATTGGTGACCGCGTCCGTCCAGTGTTGGAGCGCTTTACCACGGGCGAACATGAAGGGGCCGAGAATGATTCGTCCCAGCTGCATATCTGCGGAAGGCGAGGAGGCTCTCAATTTATAATTATCATTTCCCAAGTTCGGCGGGGACTACTCGCGGATTATTGAGCTCCGCATTCCCGGAGGAGATAATTCATACCTCGGTGAGAGTCGCTGACTGCCTTGATAATCACGGAGACGCTGGACATTTGACTGGGCTTCACCTGGAATATCCCCATCCCCTCAGTTCTCATAATGGGTTTGGATCTGGGTGAGGGTAACATCATACTTCCAGAGACGTATATTATCAGCAGTCGAAGCCAACTGACTTTGAATACGAATGATTCCATGAACTTCAGCTGAACGCCGGGCGCCACTCTGTGACTGGACGATTTCTTCGACTTGATAACCCTGTGTTCGTGCTGAAGCGATATCTTCACATGCAGGTCACCTGGAATACAGAGAGGATATTGACACTCGAGCGCTTCCTTATTTGCTTTGAGGTTCCGCGATGCGGCAGTATGATAGTCGTCACGCGGATCGTGATCATGTCACCTCGACCTCAACTTCCTGGGTCATGAACTCGGCTAAACTTGTTGCTCCTGGCTCCAGCGCTCCCGCTAAGAAACTCCTCCTACTCAGACCCCTTTGACCTTCTTGACCGGCGCAGCTTCAGCAAGTTCGACCGGTCTTCCACCATGAGGCCGCCGGTATCTCAAAGCTATTTGGAAAGTCTCCGCTCGAAGGGGGGTCGTCTGTCAAAATAAAAATCGTCGGATAATACCGTCAGGGTTTTTCGGCCGTATCTTACGTGAGAAAGCGACTCACGGGGAATAGGACTTGTCACGAGACGGCTGAGGGCTCACTATCGAACCACTGACGAATCCTACATTTCTCCACGAGGGACAAAGCGAGCCGATCTACGTGAATTACTCGTGACGGAATGTTCATGAGCTCTGTACCTCCCTGTCGGTGGCATTCCCCCTGCTTATTCCGACGAAGATCTCTGTCTCCCGAATTTTTCCGGAGGACGAGGGGAGTCTGGACCCTGAGGGTAGAGCCGGAGAGATTTCAACGGCTGACATGACCGAGGGGAGGATCTTGAGGCCTTAATTGGAGTAGACTGACTTGAAGCAATTTCCAGTGACATGTCGCCACCGATGTGGCCAGACGAGCTGCTCGAGAACTCTCTATGAGAGCGGCCCGTCTGGCGGAGCCGCCAAAGCGTCGTATGCATTCGGAATCTGCCCGAGGCGATTCCACACCATGTGTGTGCCGAAATCAGGGAACACCCGTGTCCAGACTGGCTGAATTTTGTAAATACTGGAGCTGTATGCTCGGACAATCTGAGCAGTAGGTCTCCATCGCTCCCTGGAATTTTTCCGCGCGGTTTTCGGAGTCGTGATCTGAAGTCGGGCTCCAATTCCGTGATCATTTGACTTCAGAGCAATACAGACGTCCGCACCGAGTGGACAGGCGATTGATTGACGAGTCAGCAAATTCCCGTCACACCGGAACCAATCGGTGGCTGCGCGTCTTTATTGCGCTAGTTCTCCTTGGAATGTTCTAGAAAGTCGGTCACTCCAGTCTCCAGATGACCTTTACAATTTCACTCCGCTGATTCTGAGACTTCGAGAGTCAGTGAATATACGTACTCATTACGCGAAACGCTCATGGGGTGCATCAGTCGGACCGCATGAATTACGCTCAATGTCAGGAACAGACACGGAACTTCCCGGAGAGCACATTGTTTTCTGACTCGGAAGCGGTCCCAATCCCTCGGGTGAAAAATGGTCTTGTTTTGTATCTGCGCGGAATTGCCTCAGGGCCCGAGAACTGCATAAGTAAAATCCCAACGCTTGGACTCCGTCGCTTGATGGAGCCATGACGTAGCAAGCGAGTCTACCTTTCTCAACAGTTCCATTTCCATGAGCTCGGCAATTTTCTCCGTGAAGCGAGCCAAAGCCACAACTGCAGTTCAAATCCGGTCGCGAAATATTCGCCCGGGTCGCCGCATGGGCTGAGAAATACAATTTCTAGCATGGGGTCGACTTCGACCTTGAGGATCCTCGTGGAATTCGTTTGTGAGACACCCGCCCCCAGGAGCTTCCCCAATTATCGCTAGGGGAGTTCGGGTTTCGCGTTTTTCGGAATAATACAAATAGATTCGAGTCTGTCAACAGAATGAAGCTCTTTCCTCGGGAATGAACTCGCTCCAATGCTCTGGTCACTGATTTCATTCTCATCGGGCGCAAATCTCGTCAAAGGAGTATAAATGCCGGGAAGCAGGACGTCTACGTCGTGTCATATCTTGGAGCCGACGTAAAGCAACGGGCAACGGAGGGTGGCCTCTAATTTACTCATTGACTAATCAAGTAACTGAGGCTCCATGAGTCGGAAGAGCCCGCCGGATATAAGGGAGCCTCGACGAGCTAAGCTGGAGACAATGCACCCTAGAGCTCGCATACAAGCTCAGACAGACCGATGCAGGTGGTTCCTGAGAACAAGACTGGCTAATAGAGATGTCCGAGACCTCAGTCCCTCGTGGGAAATCACTGCTAAACGAGTGGGATTCGATGGGAGGAAAAACAGATAGATAGAAAGATAGACAAGCAGGCAAGTGGACAGATAGACAGATTGACTGGTAGAGGAAGCAAGGGTGGCTGTTTCAGACCTGGGCTTCCGATGGGAGCCGAAATTTTCCTGACTAGAGATATTCCGAGGTGGTTGACCGTGCTCGCAAAGACGAGAAACATGGTCGCAAAGTTGTGCTGTCTTCGACTGTCTCCTCTCATTAGGCAAAGATACTGTGCAGGCAGATAAGCTTGTGGAAGTTCATGATTCATGATATCGAAGAACTCCCTCGACTCTCTCGGACGATACCTGCTTCAGAATAACGCTCCGAGAAAACAGGTTTTTCGGCTCCATTTCCGTAAGTCGCACTACCGATCGAGTACTGCGGACGAGAGCAGTCCTTCGACGCACAGTTCATGCGAGGCACGTTCACGAGGACGACCACAAGCTTCTGGTCTGCCGCTCGCTTTCGGGGACGCTCTACGCGATTTGTTTCCACCGAGATTCTATCCTGCTCTCGATACAGAGCGCCGTGATGACGTCGCGTCACCGTCGTCAACAGAGCCCTACTTGAGCTCTCTGCTGCGAGGAATTTCATTCGCATGACAAAAGAGTCGAGCTCCTCCCACGGGGATCGGTTCAAGGGATCTTCTCCAGGAAACACGGGGAATGATGATAATAATGATGATGATGGTGGTAGTAACAATCCTAGAAATACGCAGCTGACATATCCAACGCTCAAGAGAGCTTCGGTGAAGGGCAACTAATGTGCAACTATAAAGAATATCGAAATCCATATTCCATTCATCGGCAGTCGAGCCTTCCGATGATTGAATGAGAACCCTTTCCGCTCGACTCGGCGGGGAATTCGCTAATGGCGATCAGATGTTGGAAATCGAAGGTGTGGGAAAAGATGCGGCTGACGTGTTGTGCCTAAGGAGACGTCTGAAAAGCGATGACGAGATGGTGAACGTACCTGCTAAAACGTCCGGCAGGTCCTTCGCTTCCATGATGGTGATCGTCAACCTCTCCTGGTTCGTGTGAAAGGCCAAGCCGATATGGAGGTCTCCTCGGCGTTCGTCATGGGTTTCCTGAAACATGAGCTTCTTCGAATCGAATTCGCGACGTGCGAGAGATAAGCGCAGGATTTTTCTCCCCCTACGCGGGTAGGGATGGTTGGCTACGCTCTGTGGATTCCTGATATGTGGAGGGGACGGGCTGAATTCAAGTCGCTCAGAAAAAAAGCGGATGACTTGGAGGCAATGCCCGATTAGGTATGGAGGATTTACTAGCTGCACGGCTTATTGAGATCCGACCGCTGCAGCGGACTCTCTTAATTGATTCCTCATGATGCCTTGGGCAGCGGTTCGCTATAGCTCGCGGTATGGAACATGTTCGATCGATTGAGGAAGCTTCCGTCTTTATTTGTCTTCATCTTACCAAGGCTACCTCTTTGTTCAGGTCTTTCCAAGTGACGAGGGTGTTCTCCCCGCAGTTCCAATCCAACTGTTTCAGAGGGAACAGCGCGTGTCCGATGACATTATGATGCTTCCCGCGTTCGTTGTCGACAACGGTCAATTTCAGAACTCTCTCGTCCATATGTCGATTCGGTATCTGCGGAGATGGAACCTTGAATGATTCGGAGACTATTCCGAGTATATCCTCCGAATACGAGCCATCGGCTTAGCTTCATTGTTTTCCTCCGGATTCCCCGCATGTATGCGAGGATGAGCGGAATAAGGACTTATCTCTGGCCGGCTGATCCCCGAAACATTGTCCCCGTTCGGTTTACAAGAGCAGCGACCTACTTAGCGGAGGAGACGGCGCTGGCCGACTCCCGATCTGGCCGGCTCGTCCCGATCCTGTGGATCCGTCTCATTCACTCTACCTATGTCTGCGCGGCGCGGCCGAGGAGATCACACCGTCTCCCATTGTCGCACCGATTCTCCTAATTGATCTGATTCGACCCATTTGTTCCCAGAAAAACTTCCTTTGAGGGACGATGGATAGTTCAAATTCTAGGGTCCGAATGGTCAGTTCGCCCCTCCTCACAATGAGGTCGGCAAAGCGATCAGGAAAAACTTTTCCTCCGGAGCGCACATGAAACCTTTATGAGGAGGAGCTCTCTTCGAGATTGCGAAAGAAAAGTTATGTAAGGAGCTCCTAAATAGTGCGGTCGACCACGGAACAACGGAACTTAATGTTCATCATCCACTTGCCGACGATTACGTGTAATATTTACAAAGCTCTACTCGAATGGCTTCTGAGATCTTCTCACCTGGAACACGTAAGTTTCGTCGAACACTGGATTACACGTTTTTTTCTTGTACTTCGTTTGAAGATACCGACGTTCATCAGGCATCAGATAAATTCTGGAAGGGAAAAACACGCCTTAGCTTTCTTGATCGAAATGTTCCTCACTGGTCACGGTCCAGGTTTCGCTCCCGGGAGAATGATACTCGATCCAATAAGAGAGGCGGGTAATGATGCAATCGATACGCTGACCGAAATGTATCCACCCACTAATGTTTGGCTAAACTCGGTCGGTGACACTAGTCTGTGACATATGACAAGATCAATGGATTTACGTAACCCATCACCCGCTCTGATCTGACATAAGAATTATTCCGCATCCATCTGGCAATCGAGGCGTCCAGGGACGTCAGGGAGGATCGAGGACGCAAATAAATGACCGCATGAATGACCGAGGGATGAGCAACTCCCAGAGCTGAGTGAGGAATGTCGTGTCTTCGATAAATTTGAAGAGATTTCTCATACATTCTCACTCACCTGATGAAGGGATCGCAGCAATTCAATTGTCCTAGCGTTCGCGAGGGCAAGTTGCGACATTTGACGATCTGTCACGAAACGAGAGGCGCCCCGTCAGATAATACGTTGTGCATCGATCGATGATCGACTGCGTGATGTATTCTCATGCAGTCAACGGAAATCCATCGATGCGCGCCGGAGTCGATCGATGGCTGCGCTCACCTTGACCAGTAGTCTTTCTGTAGGCGCATCGTAGTCGAGACCGAACCAAATCCGTCCGAGATGTCCTTCTGGGAAGTCGTACTCGTCCGAATCGCAAGGCTCTCGGTATAGTTCAGGATTGAGACCGCCGAACAGGTGAGCAGCTGCAAGTTAGGCGAAGGTGTTGAATAAAGTGAGCTCCTCTAGAAATCGCGTTTGAGTTGCCAAAGAAGCTGCGTAATTACGGGGAGGGGGTTTCGAGCAGCGTCGCGTTAGCTTGGTCACTTTGAGGTCTCCGTTGCAGTCGAGTGACGCACATGGACTTCGAGTGGGCAGCGACAGAGCTGCGTAGCTACAGAATTCGGAGTCTGCGCGCGAAGAGCACTCCCGGTCGGAGAAGTTTTCTTGTCTTGGCTAACGCAGCTATAAACCGTCATTGATGGCCATGGCAACGCTTGATTTGTTTCTGCTCCTCTTCAGCAGTGACGATGGTCAGTGGCCTCCAAATGGAGCAGATGAGCACCGTAGATCCGGATGCCACTTAGGCAGGGGCACGGCGTTAACTCATCTCTCTACTTCGACTCTGAAAACGATATTTCTCTATCCGGAGCGTAAGGTATTGTAGACCATCGATACTGCTGGACAGAGCGGAACCAATCGCGCCGAAGGTCCACCGTACGAGAGGGCGATGCTTTCTGCGGCTGACCGAGCGCCACTCAATCAGGCCCGGTGGAATAGCCTCGTCGGCGAGAGACTATAGCACCGAGCAAACAAAAGGATATTAGGCAGGTGAGAGAGAAAACACCAAATATAATACAACGCTCCAGGCAGAGAGGAGAGCAAGGATAGAGCGTGTCAGAGTCACGGTCGAGAGCATCTTGGCAGAATGCCGACTCGTCGCGTTCCCTCCAGCGACTAATCAGCGTTGTCGCTCCGAAGCGCGAGAATATGTCGCCGACGCATCGCGCGGCAAAACTTAGTTCACCACTGAGGAACCGCCGAAATTCCGAAAGATTCTCTTTCAACCCTAATTGGCGAGGCTACCATCGGCGCAGGTCCACGGCGGGAATCGACGCCGGCGTCCGAGGACCCTCTCTTCTGAACAGGGAAGTCGGAAGCGGCCGTGCAGCGTCGAGCGGACGATTGAATGAAAATCTTCGGGAATGAACAGCAGAACATCAGATATGCGGATCCAGTAGGGGAATATTTCCGCCGTCTACACTCTTACGGTCATCAACACGACGTTGTGAAGGATTCCTGGAACAGGCAGGCAGGCACGCAGACACTTCCTCGGCAGGAGTGAATGCAACATCACGTCGCTCGGAATGCTTTCTGTGTCCTCATGCCGTCGAATGGCATCTCGTCGGAAAGTGGGATCCTTGCCAGCTGCCACTGGGCAACACGATTCCCACCGTGACGTGTTCCCATTACTCAGAGTGAATTGTATTGGAGCGCTAATAACGAGCTCCTACGAGGAATATTCAATCGATTCTGCCCGAACCGTGCGTAGTTCCGCCGCGGGGAATCACAGCAGACGGACGATCTGCCTCAAGACTCGGGCGGAGCAGTCGCTGCTGTTGTGCCAATATCGAATTAATCCGCGACTTGATGAGCTGGGATTATCCCGCGTATTCGGCTTTGATTCCCATATTTCTTCGTTTTGTGGGTCGTAACGAATTATGACGCAACGTTCGACCATCCAATGAGGAAACGGCAGTCTCCCGACAAGAATTGGCGAAGGCCTCCCCTCTGCAGAGAATTCGCCGCGCTCCCTGTAGTCGCGACGTCGACTTTTTTACTGTTCAGATCGACCACAAGCACATGTTTACGTCAGACTAGCCCGCCGGAACTCGCTCGTCCAAGCGAAAGAAGAAGGGCACCAGGAGTCGAGTGCTTGCCCTCTTCCTCGCGACCTCATCATGTTTCTTATTTTCTCCGTGCCCTGCGAGAGAAGTTCCCTGTTGAGGGACAGAGTTCCTCGCGAGCGACACGACGAGATCGGCCTCGACCAAATGCTCATCAGCAGGTTTGCCGCGTAGGTTTTTTCTCTTCGAGAAGAGGGTTCTTCTTCCAGGATCGCTCTGACCCTATGCGTGTCGAGTGCTGCTGCTGCTGCTGCGACTCAACGAGCCGCGCTGCAACGATCATCGCGACCGAGGTATCGCTTTCGTCGAGACACATGCAGAAGGTAACGCTCAGCGTCCCGAGCCGCTTGCTCTTGCTGTAAATATTCTTCGGGCACAATCGGGCTCGTTGTCCACGGAGCATCCTCGAAGGTTCTGGGCTCGGGAACTATCGAGGGAAAGACCGGGTCCGATACCTAAGGATATTATTCTGACCGACGAGGAACTTCGGCAATTCAAGTCGCAAAAAAGACGGCCTCGACCTTCAAGCCGACAGACTTGAACTCTCAGGGAGAGGAGCAGAAAAAAACTCACCGGATGCCAAAAGTGCCGCTTTCTCTCCTGACGCACCGGAGAAGGAGAGTCGTTCGCCGAGAGGCATGTCTCCTAGGGGCGTCAAAAGATGGTCCTCCATCGCACTGCCCGGTGACAGCATAGGGGGTACGACGAAGTCAATGGAGCGATCATTCCTGAAAAGACGATTTTTTTTTCAAATTGCGAAGTAAGACACGATGTTTCTCGGATGAACCTATCCCCCTACTGCACGTTCGCATTTGCTAGCGACTTGATCAATGGCGCATGACAATTCAAAGCAACCACGACTATGAACCTCCAGTTCACACTGCGGAGTTTGTGGTGAATCTCTCTGATCCCCAAGAGATCGCTGCTTACGCATTTAGGAACGGAACGAAGAGTTTTATCGGATTCACTGTCGTCTCCATGTGGAAGACGACGCTCACTCGGTGGGTCGCTGAGTCCGTCTCCCGCTAAGTTTTGAAATATGGTCACTCCAGCCGAAGTTTGCTCACAGGAACAGACACCGAACAGTCGTTTGGCCAAGTGGTGGGACGATACGAGCCAGTTGTCCTGCCCTGATGGCGACCCTCGCTCGAGACTCCACCACAGGGACTGGTCCTCGTCGAGTCCGTCGTTAAGCCGGACAACAACGATAGATCGCAAGCCTGCTCCTGAGTGGTGGATATATTTAGAATGGGAAATCCGTGTCTTTCTTTCGCGTTGCAACTCAATCTACGGCTCGGCAAATTCAAACTCAGATCTCAGAGAGCGATCCTGACAACGTCAGTGAACGGTCGCGGTCGGCTGCTCATCAGTCAGATTCCGACTCGGAGTGAAACCATCTCGCGTGGAAATCCGATAGTCAGATCCAGTCCTACTAGCCTGAACGAGTCAAAGCAAGTTCCTGATGGAAAAGTCGTCCGCGCACGCTCCAGACATCCACGGGTTCGTTCCCTGACTGGGGTCGGAGAACACGAGCTCCCGTAAGCTTGCGTGGGCTTCGAGTAACGCATGGGCTCGCGGTCACGGGAATTTCGTGGAACTCAGAAACAGGTCGGAGGAATCCTCGAGTGAAACTCGACGATGCCTCTCAATTCGGGGGACGGATGTGGGATGTTCCCTGGCTGTGAATCTTCTGAAATGGGCCTCTCTATCATAGAGGCTCGCCAACATATTCTCGACCTACGAGGAGGGACGCGGATGCGATGGAAATCCTGCTCAAGGAGCTCGTGAATCACCGAATCCGATACTCCGGGGCCACGAAATTCCGTCCGCGACGGAACTCGATACTTGAAGGGGCCCTTCGTTTTGAACAGAACATCGTAATTTCAAAAACTTCTTCGCGCTGCTCGTGGGTCTCTGAGTTCCTCGCCCCCTGCGGAGGGATCAAGTGTGGGTGATGTCGTGTCCCCATCGAGGACGGATCCTATTCCCTGTTCCGTATCAATGAGCGCGAGAGTCGCGACGGAAAGATCGATTATTGCGCCTCGCTCAAAATTCTTGGTGAACTAATCCTCGTTCGTGCCTCCGAATGATGACACCTCTCGGAGGATCGATGTGTTTGTCGCGATTTGGATTCGATCTCTGCCCTACTTTTTCCTCGAGGGCGGCGGATCCTGCAGATCTTGAAATTTCCATATCCCGCTTCAATACCTGTCAGGACTGGGAAGATTCTGAGGATGCAAAACGCATAGGTCAATCTCTTCGAGAAAGCGTTCTCCCTCCAGGATTACAAAACTGGGCACGCCGCTGAGCTTCGTCGCTGGACCCTCTTCCACCGCTGTATATTTAGAATTCCCAACGTCCAAGGTTTTCGTAACGAGCTCGAACGCTTAGAAAGCAAACTCCAACAACATCGGCATCAGAAGCCCGTTGAACCATTCCTCGGCTTGACTCACAGTCGGCCGGAGCCCCCCTTCCCGAATTTATTGAGTTTTTCCTTCCGAGATGCGGTGCCGGGTCGTGACCTTTTCCTGATCTCAACCCGAGACTCGCCTAATACAGTCTTACAACGAACCCATCGCAAATCGAGGGCATTCTCCGTGAGGCATCCCGAGGACCTATAAGATGAGCTGACGAAGTATAGAGAAGAAATGACAAAAAAAAAGAGCAGAACAAAATTGTTCCCAGGCAAGAGCGTTGATCCTAGTAGATGAACCCGACGCGAGGAAGAAGGGAACAAATCCGCAAATCTAGTTTTCGTGTTGAGTTGGGTGGACTCGGGAGGCTTGAGCGCCGAGCTTTAAATCTCCTCGACGACTAGAAGCGTTCGAGCGGCTTCCGGGGCCTCGGAATTCGTCTACTCGAAAATCATCACCATCTGCTCTATTTTGCAGTTGGAGCAGCGTGACGTCCTTGATGCGCAGCTAAACCCTTTAGCTATCGCGGGACGGAGGAGCGCCGCTAGAAACCACCCTTCGGGTCTTGTCCCGGCGAGACTCCTCGAGGAATAGAAAAAATCTCCAGAGAGTGGGAAATTCACTCTCACCGAAGGAAAAGTTTTCTCTTCTTCCCAAGGATAGGAGGCTAGCGAGTAGATGTCGGGAATGTCTCGATAAAACTTTCTAACATACCTGAGAGGAGATCGAGAATCATGTTCACATTCCTTCGCTCGACCTCTGCGGATGAATCTGGTTCCCAACAGTGAACACATAACTGTCCGCTGCGCAGAAAGTTCTCGAAGTTCTTCCTTGGAAGACTCCCTCTAGAGTGATTCATGGAGCAGCAGGCTTGCTCCCTCCACTTATCGATTCAGTTCCGGTATTGGTGACGACAAAACAACTGAGTGAGCCGCGGTGGACTCTTCGAAATAGGCCCGAATGAATCCGATTCTCCACGACAATTCCGACTCGGTAGCGAAGTCGGACTCGAGGAAGTTTCGCAAACATTCTTCTCGATCGCTAACAAAAGGCTGTCCGAAAATGTCGACTCTTCACTAGAAACTTCCCCATTGATCCGGAGAGCGGAACTCGATGCCCGTATGCCTCTACAAGCGTCGAGCACGTCCGTCTCGTCGAACGAGCGCAGCTTGTTTATCACAATGTAAAGCGTATGTATTTGCTCGTTGTTCGCAGCTCTTGTTCGAGGAGTCGAATTTCGAAGCAGCCGAGGGAGGAATGCGAATAAGCTTCCCTTCGAATTGTCTGTCTGCCAAGAATAATCTCACTTGACTCGCTACCTGGCAGCCGGGCAAGTCCATCGTGGGTCGTTCGAGCGCGTGTTTCCGTCGGCGACATGTGACAGCATATATTGTCTTCGCCGGTCCTGCGGCAGAAGGCTTCTACGAATCCGACCAGGCAAAGCTCGGTCGGAGACGTGGACACGGACCCGCGGAGCTCGGTCGCTGTATACCGAAAGTGAATCCCCACGGAAAAATGCATGAGATCGAATCGTGTTCTTCCCTTTTGTTCCTGCCGACAATGGCTCCTCCATTCTCTCGACGGACATGAGCCAGCTGGACAAGGCTCCTCAGACGAGCTGCTGGAGCTCAGTCTGCGAGTCTGCCGACGTTCGCCGCGTGAGCACAAACTTCGCGTGTATCACTTGTCGTGAGACGACTGAAAGTACACTGGCTCACCGACTGAAACGCAAGCGGAGCTCATTCCGTGACCCAATTATGATTCGAATTATCCTGACTCGCGCCGCGTTCGGGATGTATCGGTCGTGTTTCAGCAGATAAACAGCAGAAACGCGGAGCGCCCCTCCCAATACCAAGCCACTCATTACGGATGACGTCAGTGGGAGCGAGGAAATCGCGGGAATGTTTTTCCATTCTCAGCCTTCGGCAACACCCGGATATGACTTGGGAACGAGGGGTAAACTACCGAATTCTTCCCAAGGGGGAGGAACCCCAGTCTGCCGCCAGACGAACGCCGAAAGAATCTTCTTTCAGGAGCTACTATGTCGGCGGGAGGACGAGACATCTCGGGCCCAGTCTCTCGGGACCTGGACACTTCAATCTGGGGACGAAACTAATTCGAAGCAACAGCAGAGAGCAGTCGGAGACGAGACCGGTGATGAACGGAGTCCTAGGTCTAGCTTCCGTCGGGCTCGATATGACTTTCTCTCCCTCATTCTCGGGAGTCGCGTGACTCGAGGTTTCCGTTGGAGCTGTTCATTGGCACGCTTGATTGTTCCTTTGCTCCCCGGATACTGGCCCATCAGAAGCGGATGACGGAACGGGCTACCGGTCGGAGTCGCTTGCTCAACCACCACTGCACCCCTACTGTTCCTGCGGTCTCGACTCCGTTCGCTACCTTGTGTCGACTCCAGGGCACCGACAAGGCGGTGAGGGTTCAGCAAAGGCCTGAAATGGGACGGGAGCTAGTCCACGATGACGTTCAGCCGGAGATCACTCGAGCTCGATCATTGAACGATTGAGCGAGAAATTCCGAACGGCTCAACGCAGGACCCAACTGGCCACGGGGTTTAGGAACGTTCAAGGTCGAAAAGCCCGACCAGCGATGGCAGCTGCTCTCAAGGAGATTGAGATGGAACGACCTTGGAAATTTCAGAGGTTTCCAGTTTCAAATAAAGGCCTCTGCACCGGTCTCGGGCTTTAACTTTGAGCGGGAGGACGAGAAACGATTTCCCTGCCGAAAAAAAGGGGCTGGGGGTTCATTATTCTCTGCGGTTTCGCCATCCCGCTACTCCCATCAGAGCAAGTGACCGTTGTCGTGGCATTGCCGGCGGTGTTTTTTCGGACGAGGAGTCAGTTTCGAGGAAACGGCCAAGTCGGTCGCCTGTTCTTGATGGACATAATCCACCGACTCCTGGAAGAATTACAAAACCTCAGATGAGTCCTTCAAAAATAACTCACCCACTATTGGGACTTGCCGCCGTCGCGTAGATACAGATGCTTTCATTGCTCCGTATGGACACGGAGGAGAGTTTCCGTTCCGGCGGAGACACCGTCGCGTAAGTGAACACCTGGTTCTGTGGAAAGAAAGGACCCTTCTTTGAGAGTTGCGACCGAGTCGTTGAGGCCGCTCGGAAGCGGAAGTTTCTCGGTTCTCAGCGTATCGAACTTGTAAAACTCGAACGAAACAACTCGGGAGGGAGGGGGGAAGCGGGGACTAATCGAAGGCCTGACGGGGAGCGAAAGGCCTGGGCAGGCTCGCGAACGGCGCGAGAATTATAACGCGTATCTGTCAGATCGTGTCGGCTCGAGTGACGAGGTGGGGATCCGGTCGCTACAAAAACACAGGCTGCGTATGCGTAGCATGCGACTCAGAGAGACTAGAGCTGACCTGATTCGAGTACGGCAGACACTCGTATTGCTTGCGCTGCTTTTTGCGATGTACTCCGATGGCGAGCGCCAGAGCCGCTCCCATCAATAGCAGGGCTCCTCCTATGACGCCGACGAGAACGTACGGATGGGATGCGAACGACTTCGAGGAGATCATCTCTGGAAATGACAACCTGTCGTTATCGTTTGTTGATCCCAGCTCGTAAACAGACAATGTCTCTTTTTTCGACGCGTTGCGATCCCCAGTATCTACAAATTCGAATGTCAACAGCGCAAGCTTCCGACGACGGACGGACGAACACACGCGCGGCGGCACGCGATCATCGACGAACAGCTGCAATCATTAAGGCGGAATTGGATCTCCCCGTTTCGTAAGCGGTGGTGTCCGAAGGTAGGGTTCTTCCGCCCGGTACCGGCAGGCTCACCGTAACGATAACGCCGGCAGTGGGGCAAGGCCACAGAAGTTAAAAAGACCCAATGGTCGTCCGTCTGAACGAGCGCTCCACCAAAAAGCATACCAGGCAATCGAAGTTGAATTACGTAAGCGCCACAAACCGACTGGAAGAGCGCAGCGGTGGCGCGCAGCGACGGAACTGCAAACGTATCGAAATTATAGCTCAGTCAGCGCTGCCTGTTCTTCTGGTATGCGATCAAACTAAGTCACGAAAAAACAGACGCTCATGCTCAAAGTCGTTTGTGGGTTCGAGATGCGGAGTGACGGTGGTGCAATTCTCGCTTATCTTGCCTTGGGAACTTTCTGTGCTATCCTTTCTGTATTATGTGTATCCTTGAAGTTTATGCAACTTTCTGTGAGAGCTCGATTGAGCTGGAGCCTCGATTGATTCCCATTGCGGGCTTCACTGAGCGCAAGCGCTCCTCCGCCGTACATTTCTCATGATGGACGACGTCTCTGTTGTAAGCGGCTTCGGGGGAAGCCTGCTCCCTATTCAGATCGAACGTAAGCCTGATGTAACATGATCTGCGATGGAGCTGGGGAAATCTCTCCGATATTCCAGACTATCAGACAGAGCAGCGCGGCGAAAAACAACAAGCGATCAGCCTGGATTCGAAGATGCCAAGCCCATCAATTAGGGCATCTTCCCTCATCGCACCTCACCTCGCGTTACCGTGAAGACTCATCGAGATTTTCCAATACGGTCACGGGTCATGAGTTTGACTGGTTGACCGGCCGTCGGATCTCTCGGAAGAACTTCTCGAAAACGCGTCTTTCAAAAAATCGTCGAACTCACAGTGGGCAAGACGTCAGCGGAGACTTCCACTTCCCCGATGTCCCCTGTCACTCAGTCAGAGTCTCGAGTGACACGAAATAATCCAATTCCTCGTCCACAACAGCCACTGGAGATGCCACCCGTTCTCCGGTCGTCAACACCGTCCCAGTGGATTGAATCGTCAACCCGTCCGCGTGGTTTTATCGGAAACGCGATGAAGGTCTGATTTGAATTTCTGTAGGAACACGCCCAATTAAACGCATTGCCTTTCGCCATACCGGCAACTATTTAATAATTGGGTTCGAGGTCGGAACGAATTACCTGTGGCTTACAGAGTTCCCGAGCCAGTGGTTTTCTCTCGATTCCTCAAGGCAACACAAAGTTCCTAGAAAACCTATTTTGTTCACCGACACTTCTCGAATTTCTCGGCAAGCTCGGCCGCTCAGGGGGTCAAGAAGAACCTCGTAACATTCTACACGGGTCGATTCGATCCAGCGAACTTTCAAAGAAACGAGTCCACGTCGTTCAGATACAGAAACTTCTCCTCGCGGGAAGAAGCGATGATCGGATTACAGTGCAGCTGAGGTTTGTTCTGGCGAACAACCATAGCTTGTCAACCAGCGCTGCGCAAACCGTCAACTATAGAACAAAATAAAAGCGGTCAACACCTGTCCGGTGGCTCTCACTGGAAATTGAAGCTGCCGCTGCTCCCTGCCCTGTCGCTCGGGAGGCAACAGGTGTCGCGACGACGCATTACGAAACGAGTCGTTACCAATCGATTCATTGTAGCGGTCGTCGTGCGAGAGATGAACAGCACAATTGCGCCTCGACAACGATTGGCGGTTGCGACGATTTCATGTTTTCGCTGTCAGCTTGACAGCTCGAGATACTTATTTATTAACATCTAAGTGTCGAGCGGCCGCTCGGCATACAAGAGAATTCGCGGTTTTTGATACAACTGCCCGACGGCGAGAGCTTCGGATCGATTTCCATGCGTTGAAAATTGCATCCAAATTCCCGAACCTTCTCTCTCGAAACGGGGGAAGGGGAGCTCATACAGCGTATACAGGCCATAGAGTTATGAAATCAATTGAAGCCCAGTGGCTGAGTGGGAGACCGGGACGAGCTACGAATCTATCAAGCTTCCTCGACGACTCTCCACCGCAGCCGTGTACGCTGGATTAAGAAGAGCTCGTTGTCACGAGGTTCTGGGTCGTTGCTTGAGTCCATTCTTAGGGGAATGTGATAAACAGCCGCTGTGATGTAAGCGAATAAAACGCGTTCAATGGTCTGCGCACTCATGAACTTTTCCTAGCTCGCAAAAATCGAGCCGGCACCTCAGCCACAGACCAGTTCTGCCTTCATAAGTGTTCAGAGTTTTTTTTTCTCGAGCCAGTTGTCGTGTCCGTGACTATGTCAGCAGGTGTAAAAGGGTTTCTCAACTCTGTTTGTTCTTCACGCTTCTAATTTAACAAGATTGATTCAGATAAGAATATTCATGGGAGTTATCAAACGAATCGTCCTTCTAAGGAGACGCGAGTCCGGATGTTTTCCGGCATCGTCGCCGCTGACGACTCAGTGATGCCAGATCGCTTTGATTCCTCAACGCTTCTACAGGCTCAAAACTCAATATCGTGCTGAGACCAAATCAGGTATGTATTACATGCCTCCGGAATTCATCCTCCCGTCATCCCCATCTCAGTGATTAATTATCTTCGATCCAACCCCCTCTCGGGGGAGCGACCACTTTTTCCGTGAATCGACCGACTCAATCGACTCGATTGAGACCAGATGAAGAATCTCGAGTTAGTGTTCGAATCATACGAGACATCCAGTTCATCTGAGGACTTCGAAAGATTTGACAAACTCGGAGAATCGTTGACCCGAGTCTTCAGAAATTGCTTCTCTCGACATATGACGCAGTCTATATGATTCCAGGCTGTTCAGGCTCAGAATCAGCTCTCGGTCTCGACCCAATCATCATAAATCTCCCTCTGATCCGTTCTTGACAAACCATGCAGTGCTCTCCGATCGGCTGCGATTCGACCACTTCGTTTAAAGTAACGCCGCGTCGATCCTGGGGGCACCGGAGGATCCGGAGATCGCCGTCGCGATAATTGCTCGCAAATAATTCAAGCATCGAACCGATAAACTTCCGAACGTCTCGGGCGCTCAAATTTTTCGAAAACGCTCTTCAAGGTATCGGTCGGATCCATGAGCGATCATCGGAGCGCTTCGATGACGATCTTTCAGAGAAGCGGTCTTTTTTGTAAGCGAGTTCTCCTCATTAGAAGTCGAGCGGGCGGGCCGTTTTCGGACACTGGCCGGAACCGACCTTGATATCGGCGCAGCATAGACAAACTTTCCCCCTGAAGATTTGGACGACGACAATGAGCCCAAAGCGCGGCTATGGAGCCGGGCACTTGCTCGCGCGACTGCTGGAAAGGGATACTCGTATTTAAGTCGGACCGCGAGCCCCAGCGGTGTCAACCACAGTCCGCTAGCGATTTACAGTTCAACATGTTCGGTGCTAAGGTGAGTTGTTCGAAACCAGCCCTAGTATGGCCTCAAAGTCAGTCTCGAGTCGAGGTGTTCCGTGTCCGCTCTGCCTCGACCCCTCCTCGGATACTCCCAGCCAGTCGGTCATTCGGTCGGTCGGTCAGAGCTGCACAACCCGCGATGATGAGTGCCCTCATCACATAGTTCGCTGAATTACCCGCCTGGATATCCTAGGACGGCGGTGGAAGCAATTGTTTTAAGCTCGAGCTTCTCTCGGGGACCCTCTTAGGTGTATGAGTGCGGCTTTGGCCCTTCTGCGGAATGAGGGAGGAACTTTCTCTCAGTGACGTCACCCTCGGTTAAGCGCGCGGCGCTCGCCAATCTTCATATTCAGATCTCCAATACGGCGAAATGTGATCCTAAGCCTTTGCGCGCGGAGATTCACTCTCACATGAATGAACATGGAAATTTTCCATCGAATTCCTGCTCCGGAGTTCTCGCTCTGTTTATGGATCTTCGGAGCTTTCATGGTCGTCATTAGTACTCCCGCATATGACAGACGCCTAGTAATCATTGGAATTCCGTCTGGTCTCTGGGAAGCTGTGGAATTAGATTCTATGACGCAGAGCTCCCCCGAAGCTACGAGACTACGTAGGTCGAGACAACGCGAAAAAATCTCTTGAACGCTTCCGTAGAATTATTGTCACTGCAAGTCAATAATGAGGCCCGGAGAATCACGAAAAGAGCGATGGCCTATCGAAGTCATGGAAACTATGAAATTACTGTGATGACGGCAACCGCTCCCAAACAGTTTCCAACGTGAACAATGATCAGGAATGGGAACTCGATTTTTCATTATTTCTTTTGACTCCGATGCAAAATCGTTTCTTCCTTAGAGGCTTTTCACTTTTCATTCTCATCGAAGAATTCAGACCGAGGCCCTTGCTTCAGCTCTGATGGTTCTCGTCCGATCTAGTGCCTCGACGCTTGAAATATAGATGATGAAGCTCCACAGAAACCGTGAAGAAAGCAACGCAATGAAAATCAGCCGCCGGGCGTGCGCTTTTCCAGTGGCCATCACTGACGTACTGCGACCGCTGTCGCTCCGCGGCTCAGCTGATGAAGCAGTGACCAAATAGTCAGTGCGAGCCGTGTGGTGGCGCGCTTACGTAACGGACTTGGTCGCCGAATTCTTTCGGGAATGCCCCTGGTCACACTGGCCCGAATTAGCTACAAACAAACTGCGGTACCTGGAACTTTCTTTCCCTGCGTCGCTCGTTGTTAGTCCATCGCTCCATTTGTCTTTCACGTCAGACATAGGGCTTGACCAGGGGTATTTCTAGCTGGCTAGTTGGGTTCATCCGAAGCTTGACCAACATCATGACCGTAAAAAAGAGCTCAGTAATGCGCTTCATCCGAATTTAGCAGCGAGCATTGCGGCAGGTAGACATGAATAATCCGAAGCACGTGGAGCTGTTCTACAAGATCACGATTTTCTAAATATTATCCCCGATGATTGCAGTACGCCCTCGCCGCCCTCGTCGTTTTCTGCGTTTTCAACGGAATCGCTTCCGACAAGATCTTGAAAATCGGAGGTGCCATCGGAGCCGCAACCATCGGCTACGGAATCCACGTGAGTACCCAGGAAGTCAACTAAGAATGGAGTTCTCCCCGAGATGAGCTCGAATATGCAGCCTGCACAGACCATGGCTCGTCCCGGGGGAACTATCTTTGGAATCGGGTTTATCCACTGAAGAAACTTTTTTGATCCCCATCGGTCGCGTACTCGAGAAGTTGTTGGAATTCACTCTTTTCCTCGTCGTGGCTCGCCGTAAAGCGGCTGAAATTATTTGAACTTTTTTATGCAGCTCGCTCCTCTGGCCATGCTCCTCGGTGCCAATACCATCCGCGTGGGTCACTCCCACCCCCCTGTCCACCACAAAACTTTGTACCACGTCCACGACCACGGACACTACGAAGGATACGGCGGCTACGGTCACGGCTGGTAGACGCGGTACTCATTAGCTGCACCATCGTCCACATTAATTTGGAACACGGCCTTTTGTACAGTATTTTTCCTCTCGAGCAGTTTGGAACTCTCCGCCAAGCGATCGACCAGCTTTCTTCTAGGGTGAAACCCAGGGTTGCCATAGAGATGTACATATTCCTTGTGGAAGGCCTCCATCGAATTCAGGCCCTGAATGTGATGTCTTTTGTAAATAAATATATGTTTACAGTCTGTGGATGGAATTACCAGTCTGATCACATGTTTGAAGCCGATGCCTGGTCGCGGCTAAAGAGTTATGACGACGATTTCTTTCTTCCCGTCTCCGACATCCACGTACAAGAGAAAGCAAGATCCTCCGCGTAAGTTCCGGAATGAGCCGTCGAGGATTCCGCGAATTGATTATTTTCCCTTCCGAACATTTTGTAAAAGAATGGAACTAAATTCAAAGGGAAGGTTCCGCGAACCGTCGCCATCACCCACCATTTCAAATCCTTCTGAATAATCCCTTTCATTCATTAGCCCTTCCATTCATTGAGAACTCGGAGACAGTGGGAATGTTCCCCCTTCACTATTCAAGACTTAGTTCCCCCCGAGGGACTCCAAGCCCTGCCAATGGCAAGCGTAACGAAACCGCGGAGTTCCTCCCACGTCTAGAGCAGCTCGAATCGGTCCATCGAAAAATAATCGATGCGCTCGGTACACGATCACCACACGGACGGGGGAGAAAAACGTTATTACGTCTCAACGAGCTGGTTCGTCTCTGCACGCCATGAACAACGATCCACCAAGCCAGGCTATTTATTTCCCTGATGCTGAAATTTTCGCGAGCGCTCAGTGCGCACTCCGGAGAGATGGCAGTCACCCGTCAAGTGGCCCACTCGTGGTCGGTGCCCTCGACGATGCACGCTCAACGAGCTCTATTCTGGAGTGGTTCTGCACGCGGCGTCACAACGATGGCTTGGCTAAACGATGTTGACTCGGCTTTAATCTCCGATACATCGGATCTGACAACAAACAGCGACCTCAGCAGCATCCGTAGCATCGAGCTCAGCGGCGGGCGAAACTAGATAGTGAATATGAGATCTGAGCCGGTGCGTGGGGGTTTCGATGGCAGTCATCAAGCGGAGACGTTCTCCGTGACGTTTATTCTCCATCTCTTCCCTGTTTGTTTGATCGTGGTCTATACAAGGACGACAAGTGAGCGGGTTTTCAGGTTCCCGATCGATTCAGAGTTTTTTTCCTTCCTGACTCTTCTAGCATGTCGCGACTTCCGCTGCTCGCATATGGCCGCTCCGCACACGAGGATCGCTCATGTTGCCGATACCGACGATGCACGACGAACAGAGGTCCGGTCGAACAAGTGAATGACGATGCGCGGCGAATGACTCGCGATCGCGAGTAGCGATAACGTGACTTCGTTGTTGACGTTGAGAAACATCGGTAGTGAATTTCAGCTACGGCTCGATATCGCAATTGTTTTGTTGTCTTAAAAGCGCGGGCATGCCGGAACAACTTTGACGGTCTTGCGAATCGCGAAGGAATAGTCATTCGCGGAAGCCGAGCGGCGCGCGGTCGAGCCAAGCGACTGATCCGCGCTGTTACGGGCGACACCATGGGAGTATTATCGACCATTGAAAGAGGAATTTCCGTTCCGAAACATAAACACGGGGTACGCCAGACAGGACGCAGGACGCAGCGATCCGACGGGCGTTTTGTTTTCGCCATTATTTCCGCCACATTTGTTTCGAGTCTTTGAAAACTTTTTAGGAAGAAAAGAAAACAAAATTCTTCTTCTGAGCCCCCTCTCGGGAGAAAGGGAGGACGCTGTCCGCTTTAGGCTCGACCGCGAATTCGATTGATAGATTAAAGATTGCTGAATTTGGCATCATGTGTGTTCGCGTGCATGTATTCAGGGAAGGACCCTGAAGCATTCTTCCTGGGCGGGGAAAGAGTGATCGAGTAACGCTTTCCCGCTCGATCGGTCTTACTCCGGAAGGGACTTCGGAACCAGTTACTCTGTGGGGTGTTTAGTCATCTGTCTACGATCTCACGCGCTGCATAGGCTTCAGGCCCGGATAGGGAATCAATTGAGTGCAGGGTACACCCAAGAGGGCCGAGAGACCGAGGCTCGCATTAAGTACATCGCAAAGAGAGTTTGCGGAAAGGCTCACGAGTGAACGTCGGCATCTTTCGACTGCCAGCGATGTCTTCTGGGGATCGTGGTTCGTAGATCGCAGCGTTGCGGAAACAGCATCGACACAGCGTCCGGTCAGGATCCTCGGTCGGGATGGGCATCGACAATGGAGGACACCGCTCGGTGATTCTTCTTTCAATTAAAATCACGGCAGGTAGCTCGAGCATGGAACTTGGCGGACATCGTCCCGGAAAAAACGAATAGCTCTCACAGCGAATCCCCCATTATCACGAAGGCGAATAATTCAGTAGGATCGTATCAGGCGGCTTGGGAGGATACGTAATCTCGATGCTAGCTCGGCTGATGTACGTGTGTCACACTGAGATCCTCAAACGCGATTTCTCCGAGATGACGTTCGTGATGTGATTTCATCAAATTATGTCGGGGCACGGGGCAGCAGGATGTTGACAGTGGCTATTTCTAGAGCTCTGTCAGTGTAGAAGTAGCGCGACACCCGAAAGTTTTCAACAGCTGTTATCCGAACTTTGGAGTGGACAAATCGCCCAGGACCAGCGAAGAAATTCCCCGATGAGTAATTTCACCTTGTGATCGTTTTTTTTCGAATATCTCCCGATGGGCCGAGATATATTGCGGAGCCCGCGCTCGAGCCGATACCACAATCCCGAAAAGCGATACCACGACCGCGACTGCGATTGCTCACATTCTCGCGGACGGGTGAAAGGGCGAGGGCCGATTCTTCGAGTTAACTCCATTTTCCATTGGAAGAAGTTCAACGTCGGTACCGTTCAATGCTGTAAGACCAATCTGAGTGGGAGTGTGAGAGATCATTAATCACCCCCTCCGACTGGGAGCCTTCCTTCAAAGCATGAGTCACTTTCCGCTAAGCGAGATATTGGGACTCCCCTGGGGACGGAGCCACAGCGGAGGAGTCGGATACGTGTTCCTCCGAACGTCAACTTTCCTTCGGGGAACCTCTGGCATTTCCATGTAAATGGCTCGGGATGCATTCGGTGTGAGTGCCCCTCTCTCGTTCGGGTTTGGGGACTGAGGCATACGAGAGACGACGGACATGGTCGATGTGATGTTGAATGGTGAGTGAGATCGAGTCGAGGACCTCTTGTTCTGGCAGAGAGGAGAAGAAGGAACCTTTCTCTTCTCTCTCTCGAGTCGATCGAGTTCGACGCGAAACGTAACAAATAACGAAAGTCTCCAAGCGGCGGCGCTGGTCGAGATATCTCAGAATCTGACGTTGCTTTTACCGGAACGGCCTGGGCCGACTCCGTACAGCAAGATCAACGGGCTTGAAATTACGGCCAGTCGATCCGAATTCAGAGACCGAGCTGCGGAAGGAATGCTTCGCGAGCGATCCGGTGACTTCGGCCGCCTCGAGACGTTCACGTCTGGGCAGTGAGACACTTGCGTAATCCACAGAGCGGATCTGTTGATCGTAAGTTTCCCCCCTCCCGAGGAGCCCGGGACGCGAGAGCCTTCGCAAAAACTTCTTTCCCTGCTCTAACGATCCGATAGAAGGATTCGATCGCAGTCCACATAGGATATTCGTCTCCAGAAGCGAACGCTTCCCACCCCACATATGGTGCTCGGTGGCTGGAACGCTCGAATTCGAAATGAATAAACCACCATTTGCTAGTCTCCGCAAGAGCAGAATATTCTCGATGGCTGTTTTTTTTTGCAGGACAGGGAAGCGAAGCCGATTGACACGCCGAACATCTGCGTCAAATAGATGAGTTTTCGCTCGCATTTGGGGCAAATATGATTTCCATTTCTGGATTCTTATCCGGTTTAGAAAACGAGAACAGCTGACCGGACGAGCAATCACGCGAATCGATTCTCCTCGCGGAATCCTCAAAGGTCGATCTGAGCGCCAAAACCTCCATAACCAGCTCGGGAATCGAGAGAGAAGAACGGGCAGCCACATCGAGAATTCCGACTCAATTTTCTCCCCCGGCTCTTCACGAAAGAAAGGTGTCTCGAAAAAGAAGATTCGCAACGAGGGGAGCGATCCACGTATGGGAAGGAACCAACATAGTCGGTCCTCTTGTTCATTTATGCGTCTGCGACCTTCTGAGGAGCGTATGGCATAATCTGCGAATAATGCCGTGGGCGGCGAGATGAGGCGTTCTCCCCGACGTTTTGACCCGGAGGAGAAGCTCGACCGTTCAGAAAAGCATGCTCCGGAGAAAATCATATGCTCGTGAGGAGCTTGTACAAGAGAGAGAAAAAGCAATGACGACCTTCCGATCCAGGGCGTGAATGTCTAACGGAGTTCTGAGAAGCGGATCTGATCCTGCCCGAACGTCGCGCCGTAAAGAGGCTCTTCCGATAGCATGTTATCTGACTCTTTTTGCTACCACTCCCGGGAGCTGTTTTGCGATTCCCTTGCAGTTCTATCTTCATTCCCCTTGGGTGGAAAAACAACGGAAAAAACAACAGCGCCTGATGCTATCAACTGTGAGCGAGCGATACGACCGGTCTCGTAGAGATAATATGACTGATATAGGCGAGGATGGATTAACCCGCTCATCCGAGTGAGCGATAGCTTCGGGCGGCGAATCCCGGGTCAATGGTAATTTGATGAAGGCCTTCGAGACTTTCCTCACCAACAAAATTATTTGAACCCGAATCCATGGAATCCTCAAAGATCGGGGCGAAGACGCTTATACTCAGCAGCGGCACGACGCCGTCTAATTCGATCCGAGTGTTCATCTGTCGACGGGTATTCGTGTCGTCAGAGCGCTCTGCTCATCGAGTCTGGATATGCAGTGACCGAAAGAAGCATTCCCTCGTGCGGCGGACCCTGTTTCGCGTCTGGCAGTCGTCTCTCCTCTCCGTTCCCGTTGCACATTTTCTCTTAGAGATTTCCGCTGTAGATTTATCAGACCATGACTAACCGTCGTCTGACCCTTGCACTAGAATTCCGTGGGCCCAGTGCCGAACGGGGGGGACTAAGCGGGACAATGTCTCACGCAGAAAGCTCTTTCTCTCCGAGCGGGAGAAGAGTCAATCCATCCATTTCTCTGGATATACATCGGAGATTGGGCCGGATGATCTTCCAGGCCGGATTCTTAG